CATCATCAGGTTGGTATGCAGGACGGTTGGCCTTGACCAAGTCCAAACACCGGCCACCAGCATGTGCAGAAGACGGTGAGAAGAAAACTCCCTTTTCCCTATCACCTCCTGTACCATTTATTCCCATCCCAAACACCATGCCTCCATCCTCCCCGTTTCTTACGGCAGCCGATAGTAAGTAAGCGAAGCAGAGGCTGACAGTACCTTTTTTTGCTGCACATTCCAAAGTACCTCCTTCAAATCATTTTCAAAGCATGCACATGGTTTGATGGTTTAGCTTTGTCTTTTAAAATTCTCAAGGGATTGTAAAGAAAACTTGGTTTTTACTGTGTGAGTTTTAAGGAATTAATGAAGAATGAAATTTGCATATCTATGCACATTAACTCAGAAAGGGAAAATGTATATGATTTTCATTGCATACACTGAATAAAACCAGTCTTTGGAAAAATATTACACCTAGGTGTAAAGGAAGAAACATGAAAATGACTTTCCTAGATAGTCCTTGACTTATAACAGCATGTTTAGTGACTGTTGAAAAGCACTGAAAAAAGTGACATGACCATTTTTCACAATTATGACCATTACAGTATGGGCTTGGTAATGTGACTTAAAGTCAGATGCTTAGCAATGGACTCATATTATGACAGTTGCAGTGTCCTGGGATCATGTGATCACCTTTTGTGACCTTCTGCCAAGCAAAGTCAATGGAGAAGCCAGATTGGCAATCACGTTATTAATTTAAGAACTGCAGTGATCTGCAGTTCTATTTGCAACTTGTACAACTGTGGCAAGAAAGATTGGGCAAAACTCACTTAACAAATGTCTCGCTTAACAACAGAAATGTTAGACTCAGTTGTGGTCATAAGTCAAGGACTACCTGTATGATACTCCCCCCCCCCAAGGTCTTACAGCAAATTTATTTTTAATATTTTTAAAGTCCCTGATTAATGGAAGACTGCAAATTTAATTAGACAAAATAAATGTCTTGAGTAACTGAGCAATGTATTTTTAATCAGACAAAGTATTTCAATAGATTAATTTAGCTGATCAATCAACCAAATATTGCAGCCCAATTAGAATAACACCTCTTCTAATGCATTTAGAAGAACATAATTCTCTTTATGCTTTTGTGCTTCTGCAGTTGGCAATGCATCCCTCAGCTTAAATTATGATCAAGGTGCCTTCAAAAATGCATGTTCCTGAATCAAGTAAATTTTAAACCATGTCTCTCAATAAAACCTATGTTTAAAAATAAAATACGTATACGTCACATGTCAATATACCATCATTACACACAAATTATATTTGGGGAAGGTATTTTTAGATAAGAATATATATATACTTTTTTGAGCTACAAGTGCCTGCATTAAATTAAAATAGATGATTAAAAGTATTTCCATCCCAATATTTAAGTTGCATGAAATAGGCTAGCTCTACCGTGCTTTACCTTGCAAAGTGGATTTTACTGATTATTGCACATTTATAGAAACCATTTTGGTTACTTGAGATGGGGCTCCGTTCAGCTCCCTAGAAGGTAGGTGTGTGTGTGTGTGAGAGAGAGAGAGAGAGAGAGAGAGAGAGAGAGAGAGAGAGAGAGA